AAATAGACATATTTATATACATAGCACCCAATTCTCATCTAATTAAACATTCAACACCTAAACTTCAATTTTTTATCTTAGTAAGTTTACATGTGTTGCACGCAATTCTTATGTATTTATAAATCTCACACCTAAACTTTCATATTTACATATATTACATTTTAGTTCTTTAAATTTATGCATGAAAATGTGTATTTCACTTTTAAAATGTGATAATACTGTTATTTTTTATGTGATATTAAATATTTGAGTAACATGCGTGTAAATATGAAAATATAGGTGTGAGATATGTAAATAAATTAGAATTGTATGCTATGTATGTAGATTGCTCTTCCCTTTTTTCTTAGTTATTTCATTTTGTGAGTCTCATCTATAATTTTCTTTGCAGTTGGACAAATTGACATTGAAAACTCGAGCTTTTCAGGAGGCGTGTATATATGCCACTGTTGAAGAACTCGCTGAACATTTGGCTCAGTGGAGTTGCTCTGTTGCCTTCTTCGAGCTGTCTTTTATTCCGTTGGTACGGTTGCGAAGCTTTTGCAAATCAACGAAAGTTGATAGGTTCCGAAGAGAAATAAGAGAACTCATACGCCAGGTATTAATTTAATTTATCTATTCCTCAAATGTTAGACCCCATGATATAAATGAACAGTCTATTGCCAGTTTAGGGACAATCTCCATAGTGAAATTATTACGTACGTAGAGCGTGCGCAGAGCTGCGTATTCTCTCCAATCACAACCATCCTTTTATTTATTTTTTAAATAATAAAAATAGGATCCACCGTCATACATATTTGAATGAGTTAATGATTGACTGTGATTAATAACTTGTTTTTCAATTACTTAATAGCTATCTCTTCATATAGTGAAATTATTACGTACGTAGAGCATGCGCAGAGCTGTGTATTCTCTCCAATCACAACCATCACTTTATTTATTTTTTAAATAATAAAAATAGGATCCACCGTCATACATATTTGAATGAGTTAATGATTGACTGTGATCAGAGAACACACGCAACACATGCAATAATTTTTCCTTCACATAGCCCCTTAGTATGAATATGAGTAAAAAAACCCCAACCAATATTGAGGCAAAAATCACTGTGGGGCTGTGACGGGCCAATCGACGTGGCCGAACTCTGATCAACTGCACTCATCCTTCTTCCTTCCACATCACCCAGTGATGCCGTCGATCTAAGAATGCCAACCGAGAAGAAAACCGAGCTTCTCTTCCCCGACTTCCATGGCGGCAAACCTCAGCTCTCTCCCGCGTCATCCCACAGCCTCCCGTCCCTTCCATAGCTGCTGCTCCAGCTTCTCCACCCTCCCTTCGTGGCGCACGACAATTTCCTCCCAAGATCCCCTTTTGCACCACAATCGCCCCATTTCCTCCTCTCTCCTTCCTTCTGGTAAGTTAAAGTTGCCGCTTTGTCTCACCTCTCTTTTTCTCTGCCGACGCCGCCCATGGCCCCTGTTTCTGGCAGCCTAACTGTTTGATTAATTTCCTCAATAAGTTTCAAGTTCGGAATATTTAGAAAACCGGTATTTTGATCTCTTTGTTCTATGATTTTATTGTTTTTCAGGAAGAGTTCGCTTTCCATTGCAAGTTAAGTGTAATGCCCAGACTGTGGTTGCGACTGATATATCACAGGGGACCCCTGTTCGGCCAACAAATGTGTTGGTCGTCGGAGCTACGGGAACTTTGGGGCGGCAGATAGTCAGGAAGGCATTAGATGAAGGGTATGATGTTAGGTGTCTTGTAAGGCCTCGGCCAGCTCCGGCAGACTTCTTGCGGGATTGGGGAGCTATTGTTGTCAATGTAAGTTTGAAAATTTCAACTTTTTTTTATTTTTGTTTCGGTTCAGTGCTTGTTTTCTAGTTCATATAAGTAGCTTTTAGAGAGAATTTTTGTTTAGACAAAATTTGGGACCCTAAATCAGAAAAATCATAAATCCATTGAAAAAAATAGCACTCTTACCCCTTTTGAAAAGTCAAATACACCTTTTCATGAATAGGTTTAAAGCACCAAAATGCTATGTATGTAAACATGGAAGTTTAGGTGTGAGATATGTAAATACATAAGAATTGTGTTCTAGTTTAGGTGTGAGATTGTAATTTTTTTTTGCACTTGGTATAAAGTACTCAAATTCTACCTAAGATTGGTTGCTTCAAGCAAATCAACTTGTGCGTGAAATATAGTTGTACATATCTACATTTGTGTGCATGTTAATATATACACACCTACATACAACAACAACAAGTCTTTATCCTACTAAGTGGGGTCAACTACATGAATCTTTTCTCTCCATTGTGTGCTATTGAATGTCATATTTTCATTTAATTCTAATAAATTAAGATCATTTTTTATAGAATATGCCTAAGTTTTTCTTGGTCAACCTCTGCCTTTCTTAACATAAGTCGAATCTAAAACATCTATTCTCCTAACCGGATTATCAAATAGTCGATGGTTAATGCGATTAAGATTGGTATTATTCTCATGTTTAAGTTTTTCTTTCTTTCAAGATTGGTATTATTCTCATTTGCATATGATTGATGTTTTTATTTTGGGCTGATAATTTTGTTGGAAAAAAGCTTGATAATCGCTTTATTTTAATCGACTTAAAAATCTAAATTGGATTTCTTTGGCTTGACGATGACTTACTTCAAATTTGCTATATATTAAACTCGACATATGATTTATGCAAGTGCATATGTTTCTTAACACATCTATATTTGTATATATTGTGTGTGTATATGTACTCATATTTTCTCTATAATTAAAAAGAAAAATTATTCATGTATATATTAGTATTAATTTGATAATTTAACACTGATAGATTTAACTTGAATACATGTGAAAATTGACTAAAATTCTTTTTTTTTAATTGAAGTCAAATTTCCTTAAAGTTTATATGTTAAAATAAGGTAGTAGTTTGGTCTTCATAGTTATTCAAAATTCAATTTCTTCTTTTCTGAAACCATGCTAGATTTAGCTCTATGTAAATATTTTGTTGTTTGAGTTTTTAGTATTGTCGTAATTGTTACATTTCAATATGCCGCTCCTATTAGGATGTTCTATTGTATTTTATCTTCAACCAACTGTGTTAATTCTATAGTTTTCCTCAATCATTGCGGTCTCAACAGGTCAAGTGTTATTTGGATCTCTGGCTTCAACTCATTCATTTAGTTCCTCTCCAACATTACTTTCGTTACTCCTCTCGAACGGGCAAACAACATCTCATATTTCTCTCTATAATTCATGATGGATCCTTCTCGGACCAATGCAAAACTTCTCGCCTAAATCCCCTTCCCGTGTGGTCTAAAATGCTCTAACAAACCATCATTGAATTCTTTCATTATTCTGATTGACTGACGTTGTTCTCTTCGTTGATACCACGTTAAAGTCTTCCCTTCCAAACATCGAGCCAACACCATTAATTTTTCTTTCTCAATCAGCTCATTAACTACAAAGTATATTTCCACGTGATAAATTTAACCATAAACAACATCTCCTTCTAGGATCAATATCTTCTATTTTCTTATGCTTGTCTCCTTAATTTTTTTGACCGAAGTTCGTTCCACCCATGAAGCCATGGTTGGGTTCCTTTCATCTACTTTTTTTAATTTTCTTCTTCCATAATCCTGTCTCGCCCCCTAATCAGCTCGTTTATCCTCATATACTTTTCAATCGCCTTCCGTCCAGAAGGCTGCCACAACAAGAGGGTGGTTGGATGTAGCTATTAACTGGGGTCCCACTCATCATGGTTCCTTATTCTAGGATGAAATTTTCCGAATCGATCTTCTTGAGCCTCGAAATGCATCCTGCCCTCTTTCTTCTGTTGTCGCTGATTTTAGCCTTTCGGATGTCGCGTTATTCCTTCCAAGTGCTGTCGCTTGAGTCTGCTTTCAATCCCTTCGCTCGATCCAATGACTTCAGATCCGCCTAAAGTCATGACACTACCCTGATGCCACGTGAATCCTTTTGATTGATGTTGCTTACATCTGCTCCCGACGCCGTCGCTCAATCTTGCAACAGATGATGGTTAGTTTACATAAAATTTTATGATATTGTTCATCATTTCTTTCAGAGTCGCGAATCTCCCATTTATGGACGAAAACCGCTCCTCCATGGATGATAAACACTCATCCATTCTAGATTGGATTTGGTTCACCTCTTTCTAATTTCTCCTTCGAGCATCTACCTTCTTAGCCACCATTAATCCGAGAACAATCTTTGATCAAGATGGCAAAACTCTTGTACTCCATTATCTTGTCGTTGGCTTCTCAGCTAGCTCGAATCTCAACTGTATCATAAAGTTCAATCACGAAGGAAATCTGCAGTCTCATTGCCGCCTTCTTGCTAGTTCGAATCGTGACTGTATCGCAAGGTTCAATCACTGATGCGACTTGCGATTCCATTATTGCCTTCCTAGCTAGCTAGAATCATAATTGTACCATGAGGTTTGGTCACAAAGGCGGCACAATGACGATTTCAAAATGATACAAGGCAGAGCAGTGGCCTTGAGTACGAACGTTAAAGATTTCTAGCAAAGCAACAACCTCGAATGCTCTGATACCAATTTGAGAGGAACAAGACAAGTTACCGCAAAAGTTAGGCCAGAAATAATAGATAATATTCTGCCGGTATCAAATTAAAATGATACTATTCCGAATACATAAAAGATAAACCTACAATTCAAGATGTAGGTAATCTCTCCCAACTCTAACTCTAAGATTCAAGACAAGAACACCATCCCTAACCCTAAAAATATTAAGCCCTATTCAATAACCAACAGATGAGTATACTGTCCCTTTAATCTTGTGCTAAACATAAATATTCAACTTATTTGGTGGATGACACAGCGGGCTTCGCTGGTCCAACAATCTCAAACCATGCTTAAACTTTATATTTACTACTTTTAGTGAATTACACATTTTGATGCATAGATTTAAAGCACAAAAGTGCTATGTATGTAAATATTAAAATTTAGGCACAACCCTAAACATATTAAGCCCTTTTCAAACCGCACAAGAATAACTAACAAATGTCTAAATTGTCCTTTTAATTTTGTGCTAAACATAAATCTTCAAATTATTTGGCGGATGGCACTGCAGGGAGCGCCGGTCTAACAAATCTCACACCTGAACTTTTATAATTGCTACTTTCAGTGAAATACACATTTTCATGCTCATATTTAAAGCAAAAAAGTGCTATGTATGTAAATATCATAATTTAGGTGTGAGATATGTAAATACATAAGATTGTGTGCTACATATGTAAATTTCGCTTATTTTTATTTATTTTTCAGCAACTCATGCACAAATCTGTATGTGTATGGCTTTGAACTCAAAACCTTTTGGTTGGAGGCAAAGCACCCGACTGCGAGGCCAAGTAGGTTGCAAAATTGAACCTTTAACAATGCTTACTAAAATTTCAAAAGAAACAAAAGCATTTTGGCTACAAGTTTGACTCCTATTTTTATCTTTAAATGTTGCCTACTTTGTTCTCGTGATTATACCTGTCTGAAAATAAAGTACTATTCACACATTTCTCTGGCTGATGCAACACAATAGAATTTCTATACAGAATTTTAGCTATTAAGGGTGGCACAATCTGTATTATGCCATATTGTCTCATTTCTGGACTCTCTCTGTAATATTTGTTTTCCTAACTTTTTTTTGAATAGGGTGATTTGAGCAAGCCAGAAACAATTCCTGCAACTTTAGTTGGCGTTCATACAATTATTGATTGTGCGACAGGGCGGCCGGAGGAACCCATTAGAAAGGTGATTCAATATAACTACAATTTCTACTTCAGAGTTTCCATCTTTAATAGAGCTTGAAAAGTTTAATTGCGGACGTATTGTTGATTCATTAATTTAATGTGATACGAGTTTTAACATCATTTGCAACTGATTTTACTTTTTCATTTTGGCTATAGCAGTTATGCTCTAGTTTTCATTCATTGTGTAGATCTACACAGTGAACATTTGTGTTTGGATTCAACTTTTTGTGCTAATATAAATTAGTTATATGTTTTAGCTGTTTTCAGCACCTTATAGACACCCATATAGGATGCTTTATTGTTGTAATTATTTACATTATATGTCCTTAACAATTGTTTACATGCACCAGATGTTTTGTCACAATTTTGAATCATTTTCACTACAAGGATTTGTCTGTAAATCAGTATTGACTATATCCTTGCCTTGGTGTTGTTTTGTAATTGATTTAGAGGAACGTGTTCTTGAAGTCAAGTAAAAATGTTTGCTCACATATTATGTAAGATTTCTGTTCAAGATCAATTTTATTTTTAAAAATTTTTCTTCTGAATTTGTTTTTATTTCTATCTACATATGCAGTTGGTTGGGGTAATCTCTAATGAAGGACATCTTATGATCTCGGGTTTTTAATCAAATTTAGGATGAGATGCATAAAATATGGACAATTCACTTTTAATTTAGATTAAAAGCTGACCCTTTTTATTAAAATTAGAAAATACAATGTATGATTTTTAATGCAATTCCATGATCAGATGCATAAAGTAATGTATATGCAATCAAAATCAGCAGTTCAGTAGATTTTAATTTAGATTAAAAATTGCATCTTTTAATGAAAATCAGAAAATACATTGAATTAGTTTCAATTGACAATTTAATGATTGCTTAAGGAGAAATTTAGCAAATAAATTCAAATTGAATGAAATCACTCGACAATAAAAAAATATACTGTAGTAAGTAATCCAAATTGTACTAGATTTAAAATTCAGCCACAAAAGCAAACTAATTACTCAAGTATAGAAATATAGAGATCAAGGAAATAACTCATTGAAGCATTTACATAATCTTTATATCGGTGTATGTTCAAGACTGTTGACTTCATTTTCGTTATCGATAATTCTCAGACTCACCCATGGGTCTTGTAGGATAGTGTCGCATTCATCGTGATCGTGATCTTCATCGGCTTGGCAGCCATTGATTCACATCCGTGCATTATTTGCATTTTCGTGTCTAATGATGTGTTGGATGGTTTGTTGCCATCTAGGCTTGTCATCGTGCTTGCATTTGATTTTTGGGGGCTGGTTGATACTCTTCATTATATTAAGAGAGATATATGATGCTTGCGAAAGTAATTCATCATTCATTTTATGTGATAGAAATACAAACTTATTTGTTACTTGGGGATGTTCAGACAGTAGCCTTCAAGTTGGAGAGGCAACAAAAGTAGAGTAGACAACAGTCATCCTTCAGGCAGCAACCTGCAGACAGACAATCACCTAAACATACCAAGACTGACAAAGGTGCTCTGAGATACGCAGACAGGCCTGGACAAGGGTGTGACACTCTAGATCAGAGCGGGAAGAAGCAGGAGAAATGTAGCTCCTCCAACACCATAGCGGCTTGAAAATTTTACTGAGGTTACAACCACTTAGCTTCCAGCTGCCCCACTAACAGGGTAGTTACACTCACAGCTCATGGCATTGTGGAAGAGATTAGCGACGAGGAGAAAGCTGGGGAGCAGGGTGATGTGTATCAGCTTCCATCAAATGGGGGAGGAACATTTGTGATTCAACGGATTTTGCAGAGCGAGGATATAAGAGGTCCACAATGGCTTTGCCACAATATTTCTACACTCGCTACACAGTATAAGAGGTCCACAGTGGCTTTGCCACAATATTTCTACACTCGCTACACAGTGAAAAAAAATGTATGCAGTCTTATCATCGACGGTGGGAGCAACAAGAACAAAACATCGACTTTGATGGTAGAGAAATTAAGACTCACGATTTAGAGGTGCACCCAACCGTACTCACTGACTGGCTGAAGAGGGAAAATCGGATCAGCATCGACTGTAGATATTTGGTAGAATTTTCGATCGGAGGTCAGCTGCAGAACCAGATGTGGTGTGATGAGGCCCTTATGGATGTCTGCCACATTATGTTTGGATGACTGTGGCAATTTATCTAGAGGACTGAACACGATGGATTCAAAAACAAATAATCTTTGACCTTGGAGGTGAAACACATCATTCTACTTCATTCAACAGAGCTCGAGATCACAGGTACTCTTACCAGCAGAGCGATGTCAGTGAGGCCAGCCCTAGTGATAACACAGGATGAGAGGATTGAGACGTCGGCTCCAGACACGAGGCAGTTACGCCAAAGAGGATGTCAGGGCCATACAGTTAACACTGTATAACTAGTTCAACCATTGGACGGAAGATTCATGTTGCTCTCACGAAACATCAAACCGATCGGATTGTGGGTTACTTTTGGAGGATCCAGCAGTACGGGCAGGGATCATAGTCTTAGGAGATTGGATCGATAGGGACAAGGGTGCTCCAATGGTGCCGACTTCTTTGATGCTTCGGGCGATAGTTCAGCCGACAGTAGGATCCAGGTGCCGCCATGATTAGAGAGAAGGAACTAGAATATTCGACGAATAAGATAGAAGCTATCTCAACCACAGGATACTACGTGGGTGCGGGATTCTCCCGCATGGGAGCGGGAGACAAGCTAGCCGGCTGAACTGGCTCGCACAGAGACCGGTCCAGGAATCTAGCAAAGCAAAGCGACTTTCCTTTCATATCTCTTAGATCGAGCGACATCTAGAAAGAGGCGGCATTGCAACCTGACCTGTCCTTACTTTTCAGCTTCTTCTTCATTTGGAAGTATTTTTATGGCCTCCCACCTCTACCTTTTACGTGGTAGTTTTCTTCTTTATTTCTTCCTTTAGTCTTCATGTAAGAGTCTATCTATTTATTGTTTTCAGAGTTTAGAGGAAGTTTTTGTTATGTTTGCTTTCAGAAATCCTGTTTGTAGTATTTTTTTCTCTTTGTGGGCTATATTTGAGGCTGTGGTGGTGCTCCGGCTGTATCCTACTCCGAGGTGGTGATTGCATCTTCCCTTTTAACTTCCCATAAACCTTCTCTTCCAGCCCCTTAGCCGCCTACCACTCCGATCCTTCCCCAACCGCGTCCAATCCACTTTCCAGTCAACCAACTTGTTGCCCAGCCTCTCCAAGTCTGTTGTCCAGCCTCACAACCTGTTGTTCTGCAACCAAGCTTGCCGCCTAACACTCCATCATTTCTCTGCCGCCCCAGGGCAGGAAACCTTCAGCTCTGATATCAAGTTTGTTGTTAGACGCCTAATGATCTTGGGTTTTCTAATACAAATATATGATGAGATGGACAAAATCACTCATATGAAAACAAGGTTCGCAAATCACAGTTTAATTTTGACAAAAAACTCTCTTTTGATGAAGATAAAAAAAATTATAGAATTCAGTCAAATGATAATTTACTAATCTTAAGTAGATATTTGGCGAAGAAAGTCTGGAACAATGACAAACAATTGATGATACAAAATCACATTGTAATCTTGATTCTAGATTGTATGAGATCTGTCAAATTCCAATCGCAAACTCAAATCGCTTACTAAAGTATGGAAGATAAATTATAGCCAAGAAAGAAATCAATGGAGTTTTAATAAATTTCTCATGCCGCAAAAGAAGAAGTTTTCTCCCAGAATTTGACAGTCTATCTCTTGCACCATGGTCGAATAATTTTACAGGCCTTAATAATTTGTAATTTATAATAACATCCCCTCCAAAAAAGAAAAAAAAGAAAAATAATTGAGTTGGCGGCCTCTATCCCCTTGTAAATCCGAGCACAAAGGTTACATATGGAGCTAAATGCAATTGAAATAATAATCAAAAAAGAATTGTCACTTACTGATATTAACATAACACAAGACCAAAGAACTAATAACTGAACTAAATAACTCGAGCCAACAACCCTCTCAGTCACTAAAGAACAACCAAGCTTGCCGCCTAACACTCCATTGTTTCTACTGCCGCCCCAGGGCAGGAAACCTTCAACTCTGATATCAAGTTTGTTGTTAGACGCCTAAAGATATTGGGTTTTCTAATACAAATATATGATGAGATGGACAAAATCACTCATATGAAAACAAGGTTCGCAAATCACTACTTTTTAATTTTGACAAAAAACTCTCTTTTGATGAAGATAAAAAAAATTATAGAATTCAATCAAATGATAATTTACTAATCTTAAGTAGATATTTGGCGAAGAAAGTCTGGAACAATGAAAAACAATTGATGATACAAAATTACATTGTAATCTTGATTCTAGATTGTATGAGATCTGTCAAATTCCAATCGCAAACTCAAATCGCTTACTAAAGTATGGAAGATAAATTATAGCCAAGAAAGAAATCAATGGAGTTTTAATAAATTTCTCATGCCGCAAAAGAAGAAGTTTTCTCCCAGAATTTGACAGTCTATCTCTTGCACCATGGTCGAATAATTTTACAGGCCTTAATAATTTGTAATTTATAATAACATCCCCTCCAAAAAAGAAAAAAAAGAAAAATAATTGAGTTGGCGGCCTCTATCCCCTTGTAAATCCAAGCACAAAGGTTACATATGGACATATGGAGCTAAATGCAATTGAATAATAATAAAAAAAGAATTGTCACTTACTAATATTAACATAACACAAGACCAAAGAACTAATAAATGAACTAAATGACTCGAGCCAACAACCCTCTCAGTCACTAAAGAACATAAGCCTTTCTCATTATCTTTGGATGCAACTACCCTTCAAGATTAAAACATTGTCATTTATTTATTGAGAAATGTGTCAAAATAATCCCCTGAATCTTTGTAGAGGGTCATTTTTAGTCCCAGAGTCTATAAAAATGTCAATTTAGTCCCTAGACTCTTTTACTATGAGCTAAAATAATTCACACAGAGTATGTTCTCGGTTTCTTCCCAAAAATTTTGATCCCGCTCTAACCACCAATTGAGGTTTTGTAGTAAACTCTCACTTTCAACAAGATAATCATTAGTGATTCCAATGGTTGGACTAAGGTGGTCCCTTAACAGATCTGAGCTTAGTGGTTGCTTTGACACTTTTATAGACACTGGGACTAGAATGACCCCATGTAAGCAGTTAAGGGACTATTTTGACGTTTTACTTTTTATTTATTTATTTATATATTTTAAAAGCATTGTGATATTTCTATTTGACACATAATCATGGCTGGCCTTAATTAGCTTATTCTATTTAGGTAGATTGGGAAGGAAAAGTTGCTCTCATACAATGCGCAAAAGCAATGGGAATTCAGAAGTATGTATTCTATTCTATCCACAACTGTGACAAACATCCTGAAGTTCCATTAATGGAAATCAAGTACTGCACCGAGAAGTTTCTCCAGGACTCTGGTCTGAATCACGTTATAATACGCTTATGTGGCTTCATGCAGGTACATAAGTGTTGTTCAGAATAAATTTTTGGAAGATTTACATGCATACCATTCAATTCCTATGTATTTACACTTCTAACACCTAACCTTCAACTTTACATATACACCTTTTTATATATGCATGAAAAGTTTTATTTCACTTTTTAAAGTTAAAGTGGTGGTATTTGTGATGTAATATGAAATATTTGAATGGTATAAATATAAAAAAAGCAAAGTTAATCTGTTAAATATGTAAATGTAAATGCCCCTAACTAGTTCTATATTATTATAACCTAATTTTATATATTCTCAGGAGTATAATAAAACACTGGAAATCAATTTGAAGGCTTAAGCTTCTCTGGCCCCCTTGTAGAATGTACAATAGCTTGAAATCCAGCTATTCAAATTTTTTTGCGTCATTAAGCTCTTTTTAAACATTACCTCGATTTCTAAATTGTGATCTTTGGTTGGTCTATTGAAGCTTACTTTCTTCCTTTGCTTGTTGATCAGAATTTGACATCCATTCATGATCTTTTGGCTTAGTTTATATACTTTTTCTGCACTTCATTTTTAAATCATTCTCTAACATCTATCAATAACGTGAAAAGGGCCTAATTGGGCAATATGCCGTGCCGATACTAGAAGAGAAGTCGGTATGGGGAACAGATGCTCCCACTAGAATAGCTTATATGGACACGCAGGTTGGTTAAGTTCATATCATTGACTTTTTCTTGTATGTGTTAGAAATTTGCAATTTTGCTATTTCCCGAAGCAATTATAATGTTATTTCAGGACATAGCTCGCCTCACTCTTATTGCCCTGCGCAATGAGAAATGTGACAAGAAACTTCTTACCTTTGCAGGACCGCGTGCATGGACAACTCAAGAGGTATAAAATGTAAATAATATTATAGTAAGAAACTTTAAAGTCTAACAGAATTTGTTTTGCAGTCTCATTATAGTTATAAAGATCATGATATCATCCTATTAACAGTTCTACATAATTCAACCATGCTTGCACCTTTGGCAGTTCGATATTGGCTGCATCATGCCAATTAGAATGCAAAACTAAAATGAAAAAATGGAAAAAAATTGAAAAAAGAACGAAATGTTGGCTTTGTATCTTTAACATTGTTATTTTCATTTGCGGCATAAGTAAATAGCAAATTTAGAATGTAACTTTAAAGGCGTATTTTTTTAATGCGGGCCTTCTTTGTTCTCATTTCATCAATTTCCTATACTTTTGATATGGTTGCAATTATCTATTCCCATACTTTCTTATGTTGCAATAGTTTTAGTAATCACCTAGACTCCTATGTTTGTGATTTGCGATTTGAGTGCATCTCACATTTGAGGTTTTACGAGACTTGCAATTATTCTGGCTAATTTGAGATATATTATTGTTTTTGGATGATAGACGTATGCCATTTTGATGGGATATGTAATAAAGGAATTCCAAGGGGATTTTTATTATAATGAGAGGCCTTAGATTCATGAAAATAGTCTATATTGTTTTAATTGAAATTCTCATTTTATGTGCTATACATTTTACTTGTGGTGAGGCCTGCAATGCTGTATTTCACAGAATGTTGGCCCTTAAAAGAGAAGCATAGAACGAAGTTAAACTATTGGAAAGATGAGAATGCGTAGGTGGATGGGTGGCTTTACACTTATAGACAAAATGAGAAATGAATATATCTGTGATAGGGTTGGTGTATCTCCAGTGGCGGTTGGAGAGATTTGTCTTAGATCTTTTGGTCACATTACGGACAAAATTGGAGAGATTTGTCTTAGATCTTTTGGTCACATTAAACGTCGACCGTAGAGTATATGTTTTAGATTCAAATTATGTTAAGAAAGACAAAGGTAGATATAGAAAGACCTGGGCATATTGTATAAAAATGATCTTAATTTATTAGAGTTACATGAAAATATGGCAATCAATTGGACACAACAGAGAAAAAGGATTCATGTAGTTAATCCACTTAGTGGGATAAATGCTTGTTGTTGTTGTAGAAAAAATTTACGATAAGATTCTTGGAGAAGTTCTTTGGAGAGCTCTAGAAAAGAAAGGTAATGATATGGCTTAAATTCAAGTCATTAATGATATGTATTCTAGAGTTATTACTTGTGTTTGAACAGAAGGAGGATTGCCCAAGTATTTTCCTATTTCAGTTTGATTATATTAGGGATTTGCTTTAGACCTATACCTTTTTGCTTTAGTTATGGATTCTCTTACTCGAAATTTGTAGGATGATGTACCCTGGTGTATGCTTTTTGCTGATGATATCCTTGTGGGTAAAACTCGAAAAAAAGTTTAGGAAAAACTTGATTTATGGAGGTCTATATTGGAGTCTAAAGGCATTTGTTTGAGTAGATCTAAAATTGAATACATGGAATGTAATTTTTGTCGTAGTATCTCTAGTGGCAGAGTTGTAACTATGGGTGTTATTTAAAGGTATAAATGTTTTACATGGGAATGTTATTAGTAGAATTCAGGTTGGTAGGTTGAAGTGGAGGAATGCATCAGGCCTATTGTTTGATAGAAAAGTATCGCTTGGACTTAAAGGAAATTTTATAAGTTAGTGGTGAGAACTGCAACGCTTTATGGTGCGGAATGCTGCCCTTTAAAAGAGAAGCATAAAACAAAGTTAAGTGTTGCTGAGATGAGAATATTTAGGTGGATGAGTGACTTGACACTTGGAGACAAAATGTGAAACGAATATCTCAGTGAAAGGGTTGATGTAGCTCCATTGACAAACATGATCAGAGACCTCTTAGATGGTTTGGTCACATTAAACGTCAACCATCTGATGATCCATTTAGGAGAGTAGATGCCTCTTAGATGGTTTGGTCACATTAAACGTCAACCATCTGATGATCCATTTAGGAGAGTAGATGCTTTAGATTATAGTTCTATATAAGAAAGACAGAGGTGGACCTAAAAAGACTTGGGCATATTGTATGAAAAATAATCTTAATCTATTATAATTTAATGAAAAATATGATATTCAATAGGACACTATGGAGACAAAAGATTCTTGTAGCCGACCCCACTTACTTGAATAAAGATTTGTTGTTATTGTTGTTATACATTTTACTTGTGGAAGTAATTCCGTAATTAAACAGGATACTCGAATTGTAAGTTAGCTCCTTCATCAAGTTAAAGGCTTGAATGTTTCTCGAAAAAAAATTATCTTCTCTTATAAGTGTGAGGCTTGGTGCTACTACTTTGGTAATTTCTTTTATTCTAATTTTATTTAGTGCTTTAAATTTGTTATTGGATTAATGTTATTTGAGCCCAATACAATATCTGGGTTACAAGGATGCTTGAATTTCAATATGTTGCATGGTTTTCTTGTTTCTAAATTTCTATAATTGTTTATGATAAAAGACTACTGTACTATCATTTAAATGATTCTCTTTGTATTTTAGATTTTCATCAAATGTAATGAATAGTTATTAAAATCAAGAGTTTGTCATTGGCATGCCTTTAGTTGTGACATGTAGGATTTCATTCATGTCATATTAGCTTTTGTATTATAAACTTTAGATCTTAAGACACAATTTTAATGTCACATTACAGTATTTAGAGACAAATTTTCTAAATGTAAGAAATAATAATATAGTTAACAAAATAAGAAAAAAATATAATTTATATAAAATAAACAAACTTTACTCTAGACAAATTCAACATCGTTTTATGATATTTAGGAGTAAAATTTCATATTTGATGGAAGGTAGGATTCTAAGGGATTTTCAGATTGGATAGATAATTTAGAGGAGTTTTTTTGAAAGATTGAATATATTGAATTTCAAAAGAGTTGGATTTGCTAAAGCATAATTCTTGGGTCTTGCATAATATTTTTGAGTAATCTTCAAGACAAAAATAAATTTGAGTAAGCTACAAGATTTTAAGATTTGGGATGTTCATAAAGAAGTGAATTCAATCTGGGATAAAATAACGAGCATTATTAAACAAGTGACAAAAATATACTTGGAGAATCAAAATGAAATTTTTTTTTAAATAAAAATAGTTAGTGGTGGAACAATAATGTGTCAGAAAAGATAAAATTTAAGAATTCATTTTATAAAAATTGGTTTAAATGTAAAAGCTTAGAGAACTGAAAAAAAAATAAGGTGGCCTGTAGAGAGTCCATGGGAGCAATTTGTGATGCTAAAAATTCTGTTTTTGGTGATATTTATAATAAATTAGATACTAAATATGGTGAAACAAATATGAATAAAGTTGGAAAAGAAAGAAAAAAGAAAAGTAAGCGTTTAATTCAACTAAACTGTTTTAAAGATGAAAATCAAGAAGTGTTTTTTCTAGAAGAATATATTCAACATAGGTGGGTGAGCTATTTTGATAAACTTTTCAATGAAGCTTCTGAAAATTTGACCGTCTTTAGTGATCTTAGTATCATTAATAATAATAATATATTTTATCGTCATATTAGTAAAAAAGAAGTATATTGAGGTTTAAAAAAAAACTAAGTGTGAAAAATCTATAGGATCCGATCATATCTAAATTGAAGTGTGAAAATATTTAAGAGATTTAAGAGATCTTTTGTTTACTAAACTCTTTAAAATTATTTTAAAAACCAAAATGATGCATAAGGAGTAGAGTAAGAGTATTTTGGTCCCCAATAAGAATAAAAGGGATGCACAAAAGTATGTAAATTATAGAGGAATTAAGCTGATGTGTCATACTTTAAAATTATTGGAGAGGGTAATTGATTATAGGATAAGGCATGATATAAAAATTTCATATAAACAAATTGGATTTATGCCGATCAGGTCTACTATGGAGTCAATACATTTATTGAAAGGTTTGATGGAGTAGTACAGAGAGAATAAGAAGGATCAACATATGATGTTTATTGATTTAGAAAAAGCTTACGATGAGGTTCCAAAAGAAGTCATTTGGAGAGTTCTAGAGAACATATGTGTTGATATGACTTATATTGAAGTCATTAAAGATTTATGGATGCTCTTACTGGACATTTACAGGAGGTTGTACTTTGGTTTATGCTTTTTGTTGATGATATCCTTCTTGTGGATAAGACTAAAGAAATAGTTCAGGGAACACTTGAATTATGGAGGTCTACATTGGAGTCTAAAGGCCTTCGTTTGAGTAGATCTAAAATGAATACATTGAATGTAATTTTAGTAGTAACAGTTTTAGTGGCAGAGTTTTAACTATGTGTGATCAAATCATTAAAAAGGTGTGAGTGTTTCAGGTATCTCGGGTCTATTGTTCAAAGATATGGTGAAATAGGTGGGAATGTTATTAATATAATTGTGTTGGTTTGTTGAAGTGAAGGAATGCCTTGAGCCTATTGTGTTATGGGAAAGTATCGCTTTGCTTGAAAAGAAAATTTTATAAGTTGGTGGTGAGACCTGCAATGCTTTATGAAACAGAAGGTTGGCCTTTAAAGGGGAAGCATAAAACAAAGTTAAGTGTTGCTGAGATGAGAATGCTTAGGTGCAGGGGTGGCTTTACACTAAGAGATATAATCCGAAATGAATATATCTGTGATAGAGTTGGTGTAGTTCCAGTGACGGACAAAATTAGAGATAATCATCTTAGATGATTTGATCAAATTAAACGTCGACCTTCTGATGATCCTGTTAGGAGAGTAGATGTTTTAAATTCGATTTGTGCTAAGAAAAGCAGAGGTTGTCCTAAAAAGACTAGACCTTATTGTATAAAAAAAATGCTCTTAATCTTTTATAATTAAATGAAAATATGACGCTCAATAGGTTTCAATTGAGAAAAAATATTCATGTAGCCAACCCTACTTAATGGGATAAAAACTTGTTGTTGTTGTTGCATGATATTTTTTAGGGAATGTTGTTGCTACAACAAAATCAATTTGGATTAATATAAACATAAATTTAGTAGAAATATTTTTTCCGTACATTCATTCATCATATTTGTCAACCACATGATTAATTTAAGAAATTTGAACAGGGTGATTATAATGTGAATGTGTTATGAGATTTGAAGGTCTTATAGTCAAATATTATTTATTTGTAGATTTTAATGTTTGTAAATATCCATCTAATCAAAAGTTTTAGACAAAAAACTAAGCTCAAATTAAACTACAAGTTACAAAGGAAATTTTGGGAAATATTAAAACCTTCTCATTAGGCTTATCATACTTTTGCTTTAATATTCAAGGAAAATTTAATAAAATCTTATAAAAAAACGTAGTAAAAATAATGCCATGTGAGCTATATGCCCCTTTATCTAATTTTCTAAAGTTATGTGAATATAGTTGTATTCTCAAGAAAATTATTATTGACACTTGGGCTTTTTCCAACCCCTCCTACCTTAACAATCAAAACTACTATGCAAAAACAATTTACAAGAATCTTTGTCAGTATGAATTCCATTTTTATGTCTGAATTCTCACTTACATTTTTTTCTCATATCTTTGCTTTGTGCAAAATTTACCAACCCCTCCTACCTTATAAATCAAAACTACTTTTGCAGAAAAATTAGCAGTTTACAAGAATCATTGTCAATATGAATTCCATTTCATTTTTTTCTCATATCTTTGCTTTGTGCAAAATTTAAGTTACTAGATATTCCATACTCATATGCCCACATTGGTATCATAGATGCCTCTAATAGTCATATCAGTCATGACATCATTTTTTCGAACCTACCGTAAAATATCTCAATTTGAAAAGGAAAATTTACATGCATACCACAAAATTCTTATGTATTTATACATCCATCAGCTAAAATTTGATATTTATATTTTATAACACTTTAGTGTCATAATCACATCAAAAAATATGCAGAAAAAGGGGCATTTCACTTTTAAGAAGTTCGTAATGTTATGGTTTTCAATGTAATGCAACAGTATGAAAGTTTAGATATCAAATATATAAATACATAAGAATTGTCTGATATATATGTAAATCCTCCTATTTTAAAATAGTTTTTTCCTTTTTGTTATGAGAAAGGTTTGGTATGACAGCATACATATTATTTATCTTAATTACTGTGATATTTCAGGTGATAACATTGTGTGAGAGACTGGCAGGGCAAGATGCCAGTGTCACAACTGTTCCTGTTTCAGTCTTGAAGCTAACTCGCCAACTAACTCGCCTTTTTCAATGGACAAATGATGTTGCAGATAGATTGGCATTTTCAGAGGTAAAATCTCTCTCTCTCTCTCTTGCTTGAAACCAAAGCTTATTATTATTCTTCTTTGCTATTAGTTATAGAGCTTTAGAATTTGACATATGGCTTTAAAAAGTTTATAATGCTATTTTTTAAGAAGATTTACATACATATTGTTATATTAGAGGCTTATTTATAAGATGGAATAATTATGTTAATCCACTCTTATTTATAAGAGAGATTGGGGCTAACTTTTGTGTGTGGAGTTGTAAACCATATTTTAGCCGTCTTTTTTATCTCTCTCCCCACATGTTGATAGTGGAATAAGACAGATGAATTTGCACCGAACCACGTAAATCACACAGTATTTGATTGTTTGGTTGTTGAGTGATTTTATTTTCCGCATTATTTTGCACAACACATATACCACTCAATTCATATGTATTTATATGTCTGACATCTAAAATTCAATTTTTACATGCATATATCATTTTACCTATGTGTATTTTACTCTTTAAAAATTAAAATGGTGTGATATAAAAGTAAATTTAGATGTTGCATATGTAAATATGTAGGAATTGGCTGGTGTGTATGTAAATGCTTCTTTTTTTAAAAAGAAAACTCTTTCGTTTTTGGCGTTGAACTCGGTATATTATGATTATGGACAAAGCTCCCAACCGCTAGGCTAAATAGTATGATGATCTTGCTCATTGAATGGAGAATCAAAATTTTACTGTAAATTGTGACGAGAAATATTATTCAGGTGCTATCGAGCGATGTCGTTTTCTCGGCTCCGATGAATGACACGTATGGCCTTATCGGCGTAGATTCGAAGGATATCATGACTTTGGAAAGGTATCTACAGGACTACTTCACAAACATATTGAAGAAGCTGAAGGATCTGAAAGCTCAGTCTAAGCAGACTGACATCTATTTTTGAGAGGAAATTTGAAAATTTCAGCTTACAGATGCATGATTCATGATCTTTATTTGATGTGTATATAATTATAATGTTTTTGATGATGTTATGTTTCACTAAGCTATGGTTTTTTTTTGTTTTTTTGTCTTTTGAGGGTTGAAACTTAGCTATAATACTATTCTTGCTTGAATCAATTTAGTTAGTCATTATGAGTATTTGAATCAAGTTCTAAGAGTCACTTATTGATGGCCAATTTGGGCCATTCTAAAGGCTTTGAGTCTAGGAGCGAGCATTCGGTCAGTTTGGATGAATTCGTTTTCAAATTGGTCAAATTATTACAAGCGAAATTCAAAAAAAAAAAAAAACTAACTAATATGAACAAATATTAAAATTTGCATATATTAGATGTATAAGATTGATTTAATTTCATGAATTCTCTATTCAATTTTGAATTTTCAAATTTTTGATTCATTGCATGTATTTTGAATCTTAAGTTTAGATGTATAATTTTTCGATTAATTGGAGTTGCTTGGAACTATATCTTAGAGTCTCTCAAAAGCTATCATTTGACTTTGGATCTAAATGCTAAACTGGTGAACTTACCATTCACTCTCATCATTTGACTTGGAACTATCTCTTGCGACCGTCGTATAATAAATCATTCTGCATGGAATCATTGCACTTCGAGGAACTGTATAATTGTTTTCTGCTTGTGAGATAAGTGCGTAAGAGTGTACAAATCAATTTATAGTGAATTATTCTGAGTGGGCCAGACACTGATCTTTTGTCTGTCATTTCAATTACTTGTTCGGCTCGTTTGAAATTACTCGTGTTTGAAATTGACTTGTGAACAAAATGTTTATGCTTGACTCGATTTAAATATCATTGCTCATGTTCGGCCCAAGTTAATTTGAAAAAATAGATGTAGAGTGTTGTATTCGAACCTGAACTAAATCCATGCAAAAGAAGAAGAAAAAGTACATTACGCCACGAGCTGTTATCATTTAAAATTTATTATAAATTTATATAATATACTATTCTATAAATAATTATATGATTTTTTTTTTAATTTCGAGCTAAAACAAGCCGAACAAGAGCGAACAAACAGTTGTTCTTATTCGGCTCGTTTATAATTTGAGGCTTAAAAATTTTGTTCGTGTTCGGCTTGTTTACTTAACGAATGAGCCGAACACGAGTTACTTAACAGTCGAACACGGGCTGTTCGCGAACAACAGGCTTTTTTGACAACACCACTGCCGACCGCCGTCAAGCACTCCTGTGGCCGCCTACGCCGCCGACCGTTCTCAACCACGGTCGAGCATCGCCGACCGCCGTCAACAACCGCATACCACCTTCGACCACCATCTGCCGGCTAAAGTCTCAACCACTATGTCGTGAATAAATGCACAATCCCATCTTCTTCGCCGTGGTCGCTCCGTGACATACCACGCGTCGGGCCGCCTTGTGGGCTTTAAAGACCACCGGCCGGAATCCTCTGTACCACCGCGGCGGATGATACATAATGTGATATTCTTCTGCTCCTTAGCTGTTAATAGTATTTTTCGCTGCAATTTTGAAAAAAAAAATGAGGATATTCAGTTGTTTGATTTGGTGAATGGAGCCAATTATAGGGACGACTTTACATATATACCACTTTTTTTAATGTATTTACATAGCAATAAAACTAATACTTAAATACATTTTTTCATGTATATATTACGATATGATTGTGATTTTAATGTGTTGCATATATAAAATTTAGGTGTTAATTTGTAAATATTTATAAAATTATGTGGTATCTATGAATGCAATTTTTTTTTTATTAGTATAATGTAGTACATGCAATTAATTAAGATATCTTGTCTATTTGTACTGTAATTTTTTTTTTTTAGAGAAATGACCTTTTTAATAAAATTTGAAATTTTATTGCCTCTTTGATATAAGAATTACTTATAATTAGGGCTGTCAAAAAAGCTCATTGTTCGCGAACAGTTCGTGTTCGGTTCGTCAATGAGTTCGTGTTCGATTCGTTTTGATCAGTAAACGAGACGAACGTGAACAATTTTTTTTCGTTCGATCAAGAAACGAGACGAACGTGAACAATTTTTTTTCGTTTGGTTACTTAAATGAACCGAACACGAACAATTATGCGTTCGTTTGTGTTCTAATCGTTATTGTTCGAAATATAAAATAATTTAAAATAATTATATATAAATAAATTTATGATATTTAAAAAAAATTAAATTTTATAAATTATAATATATAATAAATTAATAATAGTAATATACTAATATAATATATTAGTAATATACTAATATAGATATTATATATTTATATAATATAAGTTATATAATTAATATAATATATTATTTATATATATTAATATTAGGAATGTCAAACTGACTTGTCATTCGCGAACAGCTCATGTTCGGCTCGTTCGTTAAGAAACAAACACAAACAGTGACTTCACGAACAATTTCAAGCACGAGTTTATTTCAAACAAACTAAATTTCAAACGAATCGAACACGAACACATGCTCTGTTTGTTCGTGTTCCGTTCGTTTACACCCCTACTTATAATATATGTAGGTATCTTCAATGTATTTAAGTAAGATTTACATACATACCACTCAATTCTTACGAATTTACATATCTAACTCCTAAACTTCAATTTTTACGTGCATATATATCGTCTTACCGATGCATGGAAATGCGTGTTTCGCATTTTAAAAGTGAAAACGATGGTACTTTTTATGTGATATGAAATATTTGGGTGGTATAAATATAAAAATTAAAAATTAAATGTAAGATATTTAAATACATAGGAATTGCGTGGTATGTTAAAATGTGAATCTAATAACTGAGCTAGTTATGGTTCGAGTTTAGTACTTTGTGATTCTCAACTTTATTTCCCACTAATATGCTATAGCGGTGTCAAATTGACTCAACACGTTAACTTGGGTCCGAACTCTAATAAGAAAATCATGGTTTGGGTTGATCCGACTGGTCAAATTTGGTTTGATTTCTAACTCATTTAAAATTTCGGGTCAGGTTTGGTTTGGCCAGCCAATCCTAAATTGACTAAAAATCAACTTAAATTTGACGTTCGTGAAAAGCTATCATACCTTAACAGTGGTTAAGTTGGTCGAGTTGAGGTCATCAGTTTGAATGTGGGTCGTGTTTGGGTTGGACTGTCTGACCCATTTAATATTCCGATTGTGCTTAGTTCAAGCAATTTCATATCAAATCAATTTCTAGTTCGATTCAAACCTAACCCACAGCCCAATTCGACAGCCATGCCACACATTAGAGCACAATTTTAGATGGAGAGTGATGAGTAAAGTTATATAATCTTTGAATTTCTTCATATTTAAAAAGTAATTAAATACTAAGATCATAATAAATTAAATGCAAGAAATTAGAGTTATACAAATTAAACATAAATAAAAAAATTTTAGGCATTAATTAATGATGACGAGTAAAACATGTGTTGTAAATTTGTGCATTAATTTTGATAGTAAAGCATCAATCCATACATCATGAGCCAACTTGATCCAATTGACTTTATCATTACTTCTTTCATTTTTAGGGGAGAAATGAGGAACTAGTACACTCGTATATTCGTCTACTATGCATTATAAGTACTCGAATTAGGACTAAAGAAACATTGATTGAGAATTGGCCTGAGTTGCTTACAATTTTTCTATCCCTCTATCCTGAGGAAGCCCGAAGAGGAACACCAACTGTGACTTAGAAACTTAAAAGAGAATCGTGCTCTATGTTCTCAACTTAAAGGAGACGGAAGGCGGCGCCGTTTTGCGATCCTGGAGGCGGGAGCAGCGGTTATCACGAAACTGCAGATCGCGGTCGCGACCTTTCGTGATCGAGCGAGCGCGAGCGGGAGTTGGCGTCGTTTCACGAAACATAGGAGGCGGGAGGAGTGCGGTATCCAACGCTAACAGTAATGAAGTTGTCAAGTGGCCCAGTGAGGCGGCATTCTCTATATGGCCACCCATACCCTGCTACTCATATTCAGACATCCTTGTAGAGCAATTCAGACTCAACCACTTGCACTCAACAGCTCGAATCCAATCACTTGTGCTCGCCTTCTTGTTGGATTGGTTCTCTTGATGGCTATGTCAAGAACTCTTGTCGTTCCATCATGATTGTTTTTAGACACGCACATCTATTTTTTAGGGTTAAAAGACGACATGGATGCTAGTTTTCTAAATATCAAAATTTCAAGTGCTATGCATGTAATTATCCCTAGAAAAAATTTTGTCAGATCAGATCATCCGGGGTCCAACAAGAAAAAGCCAAGTGTAAAGTGACCCGTCATAATATACTGTAGTTGGTTCACTTTACATGTTTCGCCCTCTTATTAAACTTCTGACCAAATATTTTCTCTCGTGCTTATCAAACTACTTCGCAGACTACTAATTATCGTATATAAATTTTATAAGCAGGTTGGCCTATAAATTGGCAGTTGATTGTGACAGATGGCGATAGCCAAATATTTTCTCTCGTGCTTATCAAACTACTTCTCAGACTACTCTAGTTATCGTATATAAATTTTATAAGCAGGTTGGCATATAAATTGGCAGTTGATTGTGACAGATGGCGATAGAGTTATCTGAAAGAGAAATTAGAATTTAATATATATTTATAAGGTAAATTATTTGAAACTTAGGTGACAAAGGCCGTTCCAGCAGCCCTTTATATTATATAATAGGCACCATTTAGTCCAATTTTAATTAATGATAAATTATTTTCATGATATAAGAAAATAAATGAAATTTGTGAAGTATCAAAATTTTCTTATCTTGTTAAAATCAGAATGATTTATTAGTCGAAATTTGTGAAAATTTTATAGAGAAATTGATAGGAAGAGATATGAGTTTAGTGATAAATAATGTGTTAAAGGCACGAGAAAATATTATGTCTGTCATTCGGACATGCGGGCGATGAACTAGATTGCACCGTGCTTGCGTTTGGCGGCGTCGTGTGATCCACACTATTGATCATATGTCCAGTTTAACGAATGTGATATTTTCTTCAAAGCACCTCGTTATTATTCGATCTCTAAGAATAAAAATTATTTTGTGCGGGCACTGCATGTCGAAATGCATGCGGTGTCCGATCTCCACCGTCGATCATTGTTTCGGTGGGACCCACATTGTTTTTTTTTAAATCCGACCAAAGCTGTGTTCGACGGCGGAAATCAAACACCGCATTCATCGCTGCATGCGGTGTCCGCACGGAATAAGCTTTCCCCTAAGACCCCAAATGTTCCAATTTGTATACAAGCCAAACAAATACTAGGTATAAGAAAGAATTTGTGATATTAATTGTACTAAACATTTTTAAAATTTTGCTTGGTTATAATCTAAATGTGCATTTTAAAAAGAGGGACCCAATGTGCCCAAAGTCATTAGATTTTAATGATATTAAGGGTCCGTTTGATGGTGTGGTGGAAGTGTGGCACAACACAATACTTTTGTTTGTATAGGCAAACTTTGTTTTGTAGTCGAAATCTTCATTTTCCCACCCGTTTTAGTTAGGTGTGGTTGTAGCTTTCTTGTTGCGGTCTTACCTTTCCACAAAAAAAAAAAAATTGTAATAACCACTGCAGCATTTTAAATATTAAATTATTTTTCAGCAGCTTTACAGTTGCTTTTTAATAAATTGCATTTACCCCAAACAAACCCTAAATAATTTAAACTTTGAATGAGTTTTCTATAACCAAAGATTTCAATATGATACATTAGACCTAAATAAACCTATAGCTCTACCTAACATTCAACGCTAATCATCACCACAAACAGTCATCATTTATCAACAACTATCGCTCAAACGTTGCCAAACCATATTAGTATTTAACTTTTATTTACTCGTGCTAATTTTTCATACAAAACTAAGACAACAACGATTTATTTGAGACAGTTGTAACTGTTTGAAGAAGCAATTATAAAACAAAATTTCCACAGAAAAAACATTTATTCAAAAACGTGTGATGATGATTATGATATTATTATTATGTTTTAAAGGTCAGAATTTAATTTTCTCGCAGCCACCACACTTAACCGCATTAATATAAATAAACAAAATAATTTAACATATATTATGTATTAATCGAATCTGGTATGCATAAGGTGGACTTTCCATAGCTTAAACCCTCCCTGCACGTCTCCTCTAAACAGCAGCTTACCGCCAACCCAACGACCGGTGGTCCCCGCTACCTTACAAGACCACCGTACAAAATTACTAAATCACCCCCATTATTTCGCAAAAGTAGGGATAAAATCGTCAATAAACTTCAATTCCGTTATCCCGCCCTCGTTTATTATTACCCTCTTCGCAGCCCTCACTGCTCCAGTAACGCTCCACCTTGTCTCGCCTCCTTCTTCCTCTTCCCCTCTGAAACCTTGACTCCCATGATCTTTCAAAGAATCACCACCGTCGCCGGCCGCCGGAACACGAATCTCCATGCTTCGCAGCGCTCACTGCTCCAGTAACGCTCCACCTCCTCCTTCCTCTTCCCCTCGGAAACCCTGACTCCCATGTTCTTTCAAAGAATCTCCACCGTCGCCGGCCGCCGGAACACGAATCTCCATGCATCCCGAATCCTCCTCCTCTCATTCGCCAGCCTCCTCCTCCTTTTCGTCTCCCTCATAGCTTACCACCGCGCCGGCATAGATTCTTTCCTCGTCTTATCCCCCATCAAATCCCTCCGATCAATCTCCTCCGCCGACCTATTTCTTCAATCGGAGCTTCCGATGCCGCCGGAGAATGCGGATGAGCCGTCGAGGCTGGCGATCTGTTTGGTGGGTGGAGCGCGGCGGTTCGAGCTGACGGGACCGTCGATCGTCAAGAACTTGCTGAATGAGTATCCGAATGCCGATCTATTTCTTAACAGCCCGCTCGACGAGGATTCGTACAAGTTCTTCCTGCTCAACGATGCGCCGCGGATCGCCGCTGTTCGGATCTTTGTGCCCGATCGGATTGAAGAAACGGAGTCGTACCTTCGGGTCCTTAGCTCTGAAAACTCTCCCAATGGCATACAGGTGATCGATCGATCCATCTCTGATTATTTTCTTCCACTGTTTCTTCTTTTTCCTTGCTGTAAATTTATTAGGGTTGAATTTCACAACCCTCTAATCCACGTACATTCGCAACCAATCTCAATCTCCAGAAAATATTTCATGCGGATTTGAACGAGAAGCAAAAATTCATTTGACTGTAATTATAAATCTTATTACATATTTCTAGTATTTTTTTTATTATTTACGTTATTTGGATGCATGTATTTTTAGTACATTTTATATGCAATAATTAATTAAATCTATAAAAAAATATTTATGCAAATATTAAAACTAAAGAAAACTAATTTTTTTATATTTTTTTAAATTTTAACACAAATAAATAAATATATTGCCATCCAACTGGAGAAGTAAGTCATAGTTCGATTAAAATGTAGAAAACAAGCAATTAAGCTCGATTTCAACGATCGATCTACATAAGAATATAAAATCTATTTAAAAGTCGTATATGGGTTATAAAGAATATTTTTAAGCGAAATATATTTAAATATATCCAAACAGATATAATATTGGAATATAAATATTTATAATTTATTGATGTACACATATGTGCATGGATATATATAACTATATATAACTATATATATATATATATAGATGTGCATGTCCAGCCCATATGTGCTAATTCGATCGCGATGGATTCAAACCAGGGATAGGTGACTTACACAGAAGTTGTCATCCAACAAGCCACCGGTGGAGCGCATATATCTATATCTATATCTATATCTATATATATATATATATATA